TGCAGCCTAGAAAGCCAACCGTATCCTGGGCTGCATCAAGAGGATTGTGGCCAGCAGGTACAGGGAGGTGATTCTCCCTTTCTACACTGTTCTCATGAGAGTCTATCTGGAGTACTGTGTTCAGCTCTGGGTCACCCAGTACAAAAAAGACACGGACCTGTTCAAGCATATCCAGAGGAAGGTCATGAAGATGATCAGAGGTATGGAACATCTCTTCTATGAAGAAAGGCTGAGAGAGTTGGGGTTGTTCAGCTGGGAGAAGAGAAGGCTTCAGATAGACTTTTTGTGGCCTTTCAATATGTAAAGGGCAGTTATAAGAAAGACGGAGAAAGACTTTTGAGTAGGGCCTGTTGTAACAGGACAAGGGGTAACGGTTTGAAAGTTAAAAGAGGGTAGATTCCAATTAGATATAGGAAAGACATTTTTTATGATGAGGGAGTTCATGGCCAGGGTGAACGGGGCTCTGAGCAGCCTTACCTAGTGGAAGGTGTCCCTGTCCATGGAAGGGGTGTTGGGACTAGATGATCTTTAAGGTCCCTTCCAACCCAAACCTTTCTATGGATTGTAAGGTTCAAACCTGATCTTTATATCCCCTGCACATGTAGCTCCAAGTAATCTCAAAAAATTTTAAAAATCAGCTTCTCATTTATTTTTATGGAAGTCTAAGAAAACCAGCCATTTACGATAAACTGTTACTAACAGATTTTTATACATATGAAACATAACTATCCTGCTTTTTTATCTTTAATCTGTTATTAGTGTTTAACATTCTCTGTACCAAACACAAATCCATTACTATTTCACTCATGTAGTATGAAGGAGTCTTTTCCTATAATAATTACAATTTTTAACCTCTCTTAAAAGCCATAGTGCACTGTATATTTATGGTATGGCTTGTCGATGAATTCAAGTGGGTTAATATTTGATCATCTGATAAGACTGTCTTGAATATAAACACTAAAAGATTTATTAAGTTATCCTCACTTAGATTCTCAGGGTGCAACTCATTAGAGTAAAGCAGGATTCAACCCTTTCATCAAGTGTGCTCTCCTCTGTCACTCTCTTGAATTAGGTTGGCCCAGTAAAAATGAACATGGGATTTTTAATACTACCACTGTCATGACATTACATATTATAAGGCTATGGCTCAACGGTCATACTTGATAAGAAGGATGTATTTACAAGCAGCTTTTGAAAGTTGATAAAGTATGAATGTGTGTTTTAGGTATGCAGCAAACACTATTAGCAGACTGGTAATTTTATCCAGGTTTTTATAATATATTACTTTATGTAAGAAACTGACTATAAGAGTTTACCACATCTTTAAAAAAATGCAACAGATCTTTATACTTACTACATAAATACATTATACATACAAAGAACTGAGGTTCTTCTTGCAGCTTAGTTAATATATTTGAAGTTTAAAAAGAAAAATTAATTACAAGAAGTATCTTGGTCTGTACAACTGAGACTGGACAATGTTTTTAAGTAATCAGCATTTTATTATACCCATATGACAAGGGTTTTATTGAAATTCAATTAAAAGATGCTGGCCTCAGCCCCATAAAGGGGTTGCCCTGAACAGAAATTGGCTATCAGAGTACATGGGAAATGGCCTGTTCTGTCACTGAAACCATGTTGCACCTGACTCTTCCACAACAGCTTTGTCATTTAATCAAATTTCTTGTGAACCTTCAGAACTGAGACTTTATGCAATATAAGATTTAAGCTGACCTTTTAATTTCAGGTAGAAATAATTTAAATGCATTGTCCTCATTAATGTAAAGTAGAATTTATGGTACAATTTGAGAATTAGCTGTTTGACTTTTATCATAGGCTTTTTAAAATTTGAAATCTTTAAATGTTTGCTTTAATACTGGTAGGGTCAGTTGTTTGGTTTTTTAAACTATAAATCTATGCAGGTAACTTCATCCTTAACTACGCTTTTTAAAACTAGAACAGGAGAAGAAAATTTTGTTTGGCAACTGGACCATTTCAGGGACAAGAAAATGAAATGATAGAAGTAAATGCTAAAAATCTATTGTATAACACTTGTAAAATGCAGACGTTAGTTGTCTGTAGAGACAGTTAAGGAGTACATCTATTGGGAGGGTTTTTAATTACCCTCCCAATAGAGTCACATGACTGAAAGTTAAGTGAATGTTAGGTAGCTGTATTGCTGCTCTTGATAGTTTTCTGTTCTGTAATTTATGTGTTGAAATGTTTTGAATGTACAGCACTTGTGGCCAGGGCCCCAGGTAGCTGTCTAAAGCATGATTTTCCTCACTTGAAATCAAACAAATAACAACTACTGCAAGATCTATGTGGAAGATAAAACAGTAAACTACACTAGCTCAGCTGGTAGATGTCAGAGACCACACTTTCAACAATGATAAGCTGGGTTTTTTTCAGCAGTTTACAAAATTACTTTTCAGCTTTCTTGATTTCTGGTCATAAATACTGTGATTGGAAAGTACACAACATGCAACCCAGATACCTTCTAATCATTATCTAGACTTGACTCAACAAGGATGATCTGCTTTTTCATGTCCTGTGCTGGCTTCTGACCACCACAGACACTTAATACTCTTGGAGAGCACCAAGAGTACAAGTTTCTATTAGTCTTGCACATTAATGATGGTTTTCTTCCCCTTTCTTTGTCCAACATAGGAGGCCATTTAGAAAGACAATTACAACTTAAATTTTAAGTGATACTTCAGGCTTCATTTTGAAGAATGAATAAAGTTGGACAGAAATTTAATTTGTCATGTAATAAAGAAAATGTTATTTGAATGGGATGTTTTCTGAGGTTGTTTTCAGCAACCTAGCTCTAGGTAATACACAGGTAAGTAGTGGGAGTGCTGCCTCACATGAGGAACACTAAAGGCTTTCTCCTTCACTTCTACATGACATGAACATCATTATACGTAAAAGTTACCCCATTGAAACAGGAAGAACTACTAAAATACAGCATTAAAAACACACGTGCAAGTCTTTGCAGGATTAAAAAAGGCAGGAAGCAACAGGCTGGGGCAATAGACACCAGATGGGTGGAAGGAAGAATGAAGTGATAGGAAGACATGGTTCTGTGGGCAGACTGCATATATAGCTTACAGGTTTGAAGGCATTTGAAGGCCTAATTTTAACATTTGACCTTGTTTTAAACAAATGTGATGCTTATCATGTAACAGCTGTTTCTGATGCATCTGCAGCTCCAGTGCTTATGATTGGTAACTCACACTAACTTTAAATCATGACAAGACCACTAACATAACATTTTGGATCACGTCACTGCTATTTTTTCACAGAAGAGTGTTTAACACAATTCATAAAGTGGTTAGATATCTACCATGATTCACTGAACACACCAGAATACACCTTACGTAACTAGTAGGGAGGCAGCTGATGTCACTGTACTGAGGAACCAGTACAGAGCCTAAAATTCTACTGGTCCTCATAAAAACATAGCTTAGTGAAGTGAGAAAGCGATGAACTTGCATGTGAATTTGTAGTGATTGGAGAGAAATAATACAGGCAAACTCCTGTAAATGATGCCTTGCCAGTAAAGTTCAGCTTTCACTAAGAGTTGCATTTTGAAGAAGTAAACTCAGGAACTCTAAAGAGGAACAAAATTCTATGTCTGTAATTTAGCCGTTTGTGTACAGGCAAGAAATTGACCTATTGTTCCTCTTATTCTGAAAATTCCTTTAAAAAAACCCAGCACCACATCAAAACCACTTTTGTGAAGATCCATCACTACTGTCAGCATAACAAACTGCACTGTGTAAAAGAGTATATTCTTAGTTGCAAAAGAAACATGTAGATTGTTAAATCGGAATAATATTCAGAACATGATGAATAGTATATCTGAACATTTAATTTGATACAAAAATACTGAATATGTCACTATTGAATCAAAAAAGAGAAATTTTTAAAATTGTAACAATGGTTTAATTTCACAACAGTTCTTACTAGCAAAACTTTTGTGAGCCTTTGTGAATGCAGCCAGATGAATTGTTATGATTCCACTACTTTGTAAGGCTTTAGTCATACAGATGAACAGTGACCATCACCACAGCTGGGAAAAGCTGCCAGAAAGCTGACCCTAAAAATAGGAAGAAAGAAAATAACCCCAAACCTCTAAGCATCAGCCATTTACGGTCTTTGGTCTCCAAATGATCAGGAATTGCGGCAGAATCCCACTGTGAACTGCCCAATTCAGTACAATGTCTTACTTTTGTGAATATTCCATGATAAATTTAAAATTAATTCCCAAAGGATACAGAAAGGTACACTGATGTGTATTCTGCCATGGGAAAGGCACATCACAGCAGAGCTAATTTTATCCTCTGTGACTGCAAACCCCATGTCTTCCAATAAATTGCTGAGGAGGTGGAGCTTCTCTGCATACTTTTCTCTCTGGCACAGCTACTTATTCTCAGTTTATATTACCATTATGGTATTTGTTCTTTTACGTGGCAGCAAACCCAGTCACCTTGTACTTACATCAACACCCTGGAAACACAGTTTTTTTCTTAGATGACAAGACTCTTGAAAATGAGGTCTGTGTTTTCCTTTAACCTAACAATATGAAAGTAGTTGTCTTGGCTTCTGACTGCCACCACAGAGCACAGAGCAGCTGAGAGTCAGCACTTCCCTGGGAAAAGACACCAAAGTCTAGCAGACAGCAAGTTCAGTTGCAGGACTGTGATGTTCGAACTGCTGAACTCCAGTTTATTTGGTTTGGGGAAGGAAGGGGGGAAGTAGATTTATTTTAAATCATCAAGAGGATTTCTTCTTTTCATAGACGAAAGGGTAAAAAAAAAAAAAAAAAGTCCCACGGATATATGTCATTGTGATACTGTTGCCCTGCATAAACCCCTCGTTTCCCAGGAGCGCCAATGTAGGCACCAGGTCGCTTTGCCGCGTCGTGCAGAGGACGGACCCCAGCCCTGCGCCCCGACGCCAGCGAGCAGCCCCTCCAGAACGGGCGGGGAACGATGTCGCGGGGTGGGACTGGACGTTTCCTCCCGACAGAGGACACGGCCCCGAAGCCGGCCGTCTGCGGACACCTCGTCAGCGCGGACTTTACCGCTGAAGCGCGCCCTGGGGCTGCACCGCCCCGGGCCGGAGAGCCCCGGCGGAGCCGGCAGGACCGGGCAGGGCAGGGCAGGTCGGGGCAGGGCTGTCCGGTGCCCACCGCTCTTCAGGCAGGGGAGATAGCCAGGGTCCTTCCTCCGGCCCCGCTATGCACGGGTGCACCCGTTTGGGCAGGTGGAGACAGTGAGGTGCCACACGTCGATAGATGCCTGCTGAGATGATCTCCTGAGATTATATTTTCCCCACACAAATGTGCAACCGGTATGTTTCTCTTGCCCCTAAACTGCGTGAGTGTGTGAGGAAAACGCACACATAACCAACACCAGATACCGACCCAGCTTCACACAGAGCGGGCCCCACTGTTTTCTTCACTTGCGCTCACAAGCTCAACATTTTAAAAAGGCCAGTATTAAGGAGTGTCTTGTGGTTGTGTTACAGAATGGTGTTTCCTGACGGGTGGTTTTCTCTGAGCCTTTGTGCAGATTTGACCGCTTCTGTAGATTAGCAGAACTCGGGACTTAATTTGAAAGAGGAAACATAAGCCAGACATGGTTCTACAGATGAATCCTGGGTTAGCAGAGACAATTCAGTTCTAGGTTGTCATGTTTTTATTAAATCCATGCCTTGGTAGCAACAACATGAGGATTCACACATTGAAAGGCAGCCATATCTTGTCTCTCCATTCTCACTGAACCGGAGTCTCTAGAGAACAGCATGACTGAGGCAAGGAATGGAAGATTTTAAAATAATAAAGGGCTAAAATTGTGCTACTAACAATTATCTTTTACTCTGCAGGATTCATCATTGTTTAGAGCACTGTTAAATATGGGTGGTCTCAAACACGAATGTTAATCCCTATGGTCTTTGAAGAGCAGTGTCTATGTGCCCTTAGGGAAGTGCAGAAAGGCTGAAGAGATGAAAGATTTAACAGAAAACAGCAGTAAAAAAAAAAAAAAAAAAAAAAAAAAATACTGACATATTTTGGGGAAAAACCCCACAAGGATCTACAGCAGAATCTCATGTACAAGTGTGGTGGTTCAGTCCCCTGACCTTGGGGTGCTCAGTGTGATCCCCCCACCCCAGGCCACACACCAACCCAAGATGGATTGCGAAAGGCAGCGAACCAGAGCGTTAAGGCACCCCCTTCATGTACCTGGCTCCTGCTTCCCCTATCGCTTGGGAACAGTAATGACAATCAGTCACCTCCTGACAGCCTGGTTCAGGGGTCATGGCCCAAAGGGAGTGATACCACAACTGCAGAATCTAGCAAGTTCTGGGCCTGTGCAGCTGGTGGAAAGTACCAGAGTATTTCCTCATCAGAGCCGAGCTGAAATGGAATATTATCTGGCAAAAGTCGATTATCTCGGACCCTATAAATAGCGACCCAAAGTGACACCCTCTGAGCTCTCCTGGACCGCAGCAGGCTGTGACCAGCACCTCCCCTGAGCTGGGACACAGCTCAGGCTTCTCCAAGTTTGAAGATCGTCTGGCCACAAAGCTGATGAAAGGCCAGGGTGAAGTCAGATTTCTTGATTCTCAATTACCAGCCGTTGAGAAATAGCAATGCATTGCAAGTATTTGCTCCAAACTTGAGAAGAGGGAAGTCTTAAATATAGGCTGGCGTCCTCCATCCACCTCTCTACCCATCTATGTGTTTAACTACACACATTTACCTTTACAAGTGTGGATATTAATACATATTTAATTGGATATCCCAGTATTTGCCTGTTGTTTGTGTGTCTGTGTGTGTATGTCTTGTGTTTTACATATATACATACTTTGATTCAGAATACCTGGTAGTAAGTTAGTGTGAATCTTGTCATTCTTGAATCTGTAATCAAGTCGCTATTTTAATCATATTTTACCAAGTGACTTTGATCTTTAAATCAATCTGCTAAAATTTAACCTTTAATTTACCACACACCATTAATGAAACTTAAACTGTTACTAAATCAGAACCATGTGAAATACCTTCATCTGTGACAATGAGTCTGAGAACTTCAGAAAGAAAATATTAAAATCTACTATTAATAGAATGGTAGTAACTAACAAACATTTGCATCGGGAAGAATAAATTAGACATGTAACTGCAGAGAATTTACCCACCACAACCATCCTTTAAGTCCCCCAGAGAAAGCTAAGGCCACTTATGTACATGTAATTTGAACATAAATATCACTTAGTTACAAATCACTGATATGTAGTCATGATACGGCATGTATGCTGGTGACAAGAAAACTGTTGACTATCAGAGATGCTGGCCATGGCAAGACACTGCTTCACACCACCTTCTTGTCTGCACTTGCATATGTCTGTTGAAAGATGATTACTGCCTTCAGAACTCTATTCAGTGCACGAACTAGCTGCGGTTTTAATAGATGTGCTACTGCTCTACAAGAAACTCAGAGTGTGCAACCCACCTTCTGACAGGTGTCTGCAATCACTTTGTGTCAACAATGGAAAGAAACAAGAAAAATGTAACCTTTTAAAAATTTTAATAGACCCATGTAATTTAAGTGGAGACATCTATTTTGGAGAGCATAATTTGACATGCACAATGTTTTATTTTTTCCTGGATCAATGTTATGCATTTCTTACCAACTCTACTTGGACTCAAGGACCTCAGCATCACTGAAAGCTATGCATCCAAAAGCCAGCTGAAATATTTATTTTAACATCTTGGTCTTTCTAGTATACTTACTTTCTTTGCTCTTACAAGAAATTGGTGGACAGAGGAGCTGCTTCTCTCCTTTTTGCTTTTCAGAATTTTAGCTTAGAGATTAATATTAAACATGCTCTCCTTAAGATGCCATGAAATAAACACCAGTTGATCAATTTTCTGTGCTGTCTAGACCACTGCAGGACAGGCAAGAAACATTTCTTAGATACTCTTTGTACATTTTGAGGTGGGCTATCTCAGTTCCACCTCATTCTATCTCCTGTATAAAAGAAGGGAAATCAGAGAGAAAAATGTTTTCAGTTCTCCACTAGTACTGTAGTTCCTTGTTATCACATGAAATTGCTTTCTGGTAGCTTAACTGTGTATTATAGATAACCTGTCATTAGAAGAATGACTGCTCATCCACAGTCAGGCCTTTTCTGTTTCTCAAAATACTGCTTTTGAAAACCATAACCATGCTTTTTCATTATTTAATTTCAAAAGCTTCCATGATGCACTATGCCTTTGTTTCTATGATAGCAATTTACAAGCTAAGGAGAAGATTGTAAGCAATGAAGACAAAGGAGTTAGATCCATTAATCATTTTGTACATTGTCTGGTTGTAGAGACAGTAAGACAACAACTCAGTATTAGACAGGTTTCACACCCATCTTTCTGTTCACAGCAGGTCTCATGAAAGGAGTTTGATGTTCTCCCTTTGTTAAAGTCTGTGGTTAATTGGGTTTTGGGTGTTGCTTTTTGTTTGTTTGTTTAAGAGAGGAAGATGTTTCTTCTTTTAGCTGTATCTCCAGAACTGCTAACTACTCAAGAAAGAAACACTTCATTTTTTACTGAAGCTGTATTAAAAGAGTCCAGGCTTCATCTTAACAGATTGCCAAAACTGGTCACACAAATTGAGCTAGCAGCAATGCAAATAACATCCCAACCTGCACAAATATACCCATTTATGAATGCTCCAACTATTTATTTTACAGTTTCATGCATTGTTGGTAAGCATGGACAAAAGGATTACTCAAAAATATTTTGTCACATGCAGGAAAAAATGCCAGAGGAGACACAAAAAAGTAAGGCTTCCAAAACTGCTAGTGTAGACCAAACAATTAGATAATTTTAAGCTTTTATCTTTTTTGATGAACTGAATTACCTGCAGTCTACTTCAGCATATGAGCAGTAAAACTCACTAAATATTCCTTTTCATCTATTATGTCAGCAATTTGATTGCCTTTATTTGGGGAAAAAAGAAAAAAAGGAAAAAAGAATTTTATCAAGAAAGGTTACATCATTTTCACTCTTTAGAGTACTATCAGATGAGATGTTGGTAAATTTATTTTTTTAAGCTATATTATCCTTAAGTATTGTCAATAGTACTGCTCTAGCTTATTGTTAAGCACTGTTGTTTGAACTCCTGTAACAAACAAACCTACCATAATCAAGGTTATGAAGTCTAATCACAACTTCAGAACAAGAAGTAGAACATGATCTTTCCAGTCAGGAGATTAAAAAAATTATATCAAACCAGGTGCAGCTCAGAACAGAACATGGTTTTCCAAAGCTACCTTGTTTGGATGGCAGCACTGTTGGTGGGTCCTGTATATGGTATGGCAGAAAGCATGTTTACATTCACCATTTCCTCATCCCCATCCTTCTGCCGCACACATATGCATCCCAAATGGTGATCCTAATCATAAAGCTGTACTTTCCTCTAATTCATTTTGGGTTTCACATGCTATCACCACACTTTGGTCTTCCTCCTGCAAGCTGACCTGGAGGTGATGGTTTCAGGCGGGTTGGTTGCTGTACCTGGGCAGGCAGAAGAGTGACAGGCTCCTCAACAAAGAGCAGCTGAGCGGTGGTAATGACAGCACACATTGAGTGCGAGCATCTGGGCAGAATGGCTACTCTTGCATATTGTTTTGAAGGAGTTTGCAAGCTGGGGTTAGGGAAACACTGGAAGAGACTATAATCAGCATGTCTAGACGCCACCGACCAGGGGAAGCTTTTTTCTGTTAAGACACACATATCCAAACATCTTTTTTCTTAAAAGAGTAATTTAGCAGTCACTTCTTTGACAGCAGTGGTATTACTGTGAAGAACACTATTACATGATAGAATATTACAGCATCACACCCATTATTAAACACAACTTTGTATCCCAGGATAGTGACAGATTACAAAGCCCTGTGGAAGCTTTAAGTGTCACCTGCTTATTTGTAGAGAATGTACCTTTGATGCTCAACTAGCGACTGAGTTAAGTCCCTGTGAATTTTCTCAATATATTTTATAATTCTAAGTTTGGATCCTTGGCAAAGTACACCAGTGGCATATAACTTCACTAATTATAAAAAGTTGTATGTAACTGTTACCTGATGACCTCATAAGAATATCTGGAGGATCATGCCAACAGGAAAACTGTGGTGATCTCAGCACCTGCCAGTAAAACACAATGCCTCTTAACATTTGCTCATATTCCACCTTCCTACAAGATGTATAATGTTGCCAGTGCAACTACTCTCTCCTTTAAGGAAGCTGACATGCCCTCAAGTTCAGTGCTCTTGCTGGCATAGATCTTGACTGTATCCAATAAAATCTAAGTGTTTTATTCAAGATTGTTTTAAACAAAATGTTATATGAAATTTAGTAGCCTAAATCTCAGAAAAAAAGAGTCATTTTCCGTTACTCCTACTGATGTATTAAATAGATTGGCAATGAAATCCTGAACCCTCCTTAAAAAAAAAAATTTAAAAACTCACTCCTAGAATTTTCATTTCTGTGTTGGTGAAACAGGAGACAGGGAACTTAGATCTCTTTGCAGCCTTCTGTTTTTCCATAGAAGACTTGACTCAAAAAGAAAAAAAAAAAAAAAAAAAGGCTATTGTTGTCCAGATTCTTCTGGAGAAGTAAAAATGTTACTGATTAGATCCTCAGCACAGAGTTTATCAAAAAGAAACATTTCTTTGCTCACCTTTGCAGTAAACAGAACTTAAGAAGAGACAACACTGGTAAAATTTTCCTTTACTGTCACCGTTTTCTTATGTACAATTAGGCAGCTTGCTAGATGATATATGTTATTTAAATACTGACTATAAGACATACTTTTATTCTAATGTTCTCAATTTCACTATGTTTCACATCGTAACAGCATATTGAGCACGTAAGTCATCAAAAGCAGCAGTGTTAAAAAGCTGTTGCTCTGACTGAAGAAAGATCTTCCTTCTCTTACACGACATGTGAATAATCTGCATTCCTCAAAGTCCAGTTGTCAGGAGAAGCTGTCAATTCAAATACAGATAAGAAAATAGAGATGGTTCAATATAGAAATAACTAAGCACAGGTAACAGGCAAGGAAGAAGTAAATGTACCCAGGGGAGTATGCAAATCATACTAAAGTTATGCCTCTGCTTACCAGCTTGTATTTTTCAATATATATGGGCCTGCTGAACACCTACTGAGCTGATCACAAAACTGAACTTCATTTCTGTTTCCACATTGTTTTGCAGGTTAACTATCATTAAGAAAATCTGGCATCATTGTATGATATTGTTAGCAACTCCTTTCTCTGTAACACTGAACTACTTTGTACTATATAGACTAGTAGTACCATAAAGGAATGTCCTTCTTCAGCAGCCATGATGCTTTAAGGCTCTTGTATTCTGCATAATATTGAAATGCCAGTGATTTTCTTTTCCTGTTGATTCAATCAGATCATGCTTTCCTGGCTACAGTATGAGGAATTGGTGAGTTATAATTCTCTTCAGTGCATCCTCTTCCTTATTTTCATGGCTCTTACAGTCTTCTTCCCCAATTCTCCTCAAAGAGTGTGAAACACTTTTCCATCACCAAAATCAGTTTGAGGAAAATGGCATTGCTTGCACTGAGATCTTCAGTATCTGGGAAGGGACTAGCTTATTTCTATTGCAGCCACCTAAAGTAATTAAATACAACTTCCTTGTACCCATCAACACTTTACTGCTTTCCAATCTTGTATGTCTGGTCTACAAATATCTTAGAATAAACCACTCCAACCGTGCCACCCAGATTTAGGTTTGCTATGCTCATTTTAGCTGCCACCACAATAAAATATGCAGGTTTTGCATTTATCTTTGCAGAGTAGGTTATATTACACAGTTCAGTACAAATGCAAAGACAGTTCATGCAGCAAAATTCTAATGTTTGAAATAAACTTTAAAGAAACCAAAAGGAAACCCAGAAACCACAGTATTTATTTTAGGTAATTTTGTTCAAAAGAAAAATAATTAGCAGTGTCATGTGAACGGATGAAAAGCAGAACAGCTTAAAGAATGAGGACACTGGATTCATCACCTTTTCATTCCCCAGTACCAAATGTCTCACTGACATGTAAATGGGATTTCAGTATTACAGATAGTCTCATTTTTGAAAGACAACTTACAGCCTTTTATACTCTCTGTGATGCTAAGCTGGTAGTTCCCAATGCCTTTCTGATCTTTACCCCCGAGCTTTCTTGCAGTGAAAATCTTAGAAAATTCTTAATCAATCTCTTATTAACAGGACTATGAAAAGTTGACCAGTCTTGGGACAGCAAAGCATCGGTCAGGGTTCTAACAGATATAGCTTTGAAAAACTGATCAGGTTTTTCATTTAAAACAGGATGTGTCATATAAGGGGATGACCTGAGTGGCTGAAACCAGAATGCAAAAAGATGCATTTTACCATGTATTAGTTCTAAAACTACAAATCAGCAGACTATATATACTTACGCTCTTTAATGAATGGATGAGATTTACTGCCTTCCACAGTTAAGGAAATAGAAACTCTACAACCAGTTCTTGTCAGCTATCCTTACCCACTAACCTTGTTAAACTCCTAAGTTTAATGCTTGTGCCACTGCTGACATTCCACAGAGCTGGCAGAAGATTTATTCTGTAGGATAGCATAGTTATTTTAACTATAACCAAAGCAAAAAAATCAATTTCTCTCACAAATCAAGATTTTAATAATTTGCTTTTGAATTTATTATCTGGACAATCATGTACCTATAGGTATTTCTGCTGGAATAAATACAGTTGTATGTCCAAGGACAAGATGAATTAATGGATGAGTTATCTGATCATATTTTTTATACCTGACTTTTACATGCTTGTTATAGACAGAATGACTAAAGTAAAAGCAAACTGTTTAGAGTGGAGTATCATCAAATATAATTGGTATTACAGAATGTGTTACCCTGCACAAGATTAAAGGATAAATACTAAGTATATTTACTGCCATACAAGCCAACAAACAAGATGAAGCCAAACATACTTTATCAGTCTGTACTCAAATCGGTGTTACTGGGCCTTATATTGAGAGCAGAGAAGCACACCTGAGTTTTGAGGAACATGCATATGTAAGCATGCATCTGGCAAATCTTTTCTTCCTGCCTCGCCCAACTCTGTTACGTTTACACCTTTTGACATGAAGAAATGGAAGAGGTATTACCCGTTTGCTAAAACCTAGAGTTCACAGCAGTTAGTTAACCGTAGACATGTCTTATACACGTACATGCGTCCTCATGGTACCTAATGGAAAACAGAGAATATGAACAATGAATTTGTAGCTTAACTTTATTTGATTATAAATAAAAGGCAGCACGTCCACCCCGCACAAGGTTTGCTGACCCGACCCGGTGTCTTCAGCCTTCCCCGTGGGCCAGAACCGGCATTTCTCTTCCTGAGACCAGGCTGACGAGGAGCAGAGGGCGGAGGGACCTGTGCCCCGGAGCAGCCTCTGCTGGGAGACACGACGGGACGCGACGCGACACGACACGACACGATACGACACGACACGACACGATACGACACGATACGACACGACACGACACGACACGGCACGACA